GCACTCATCTCTGACTTTAGCTTTCCCTAATACTTTTTTAAGGCAAGGCAAGTATAGCACAATTCACATACAGGAGTCAGGACAACTCAAAGTGCATTGTAAAAAGGATTAAAAACGTCTATAATACATACATTTAAAAAAAAAAAAAAATCTTAAAGGAATACCATGGGACTCCCCTTATAATGCTATTTTATAACACTTTGTTGCTTTATTCTTTTTCATAGGCTGAATAATTGGATCTTTGTATGTCGCTTGTAGTTATTCGTTTTGACCAACAGGCGGCAGTGTAGCGTTTGACAACACTTCTACGTCATCAGTACGCGCCAACAGACGACAGGCGCTGCGACCTTTTATCATGCTGTAAAAACACTGAAGGAGAACGGGTTTTATAATTTAAACATGAAGTAACTTTAACGTCGAATAAAAACACACAGAGATGCTTCGCTTTTCCGTGGTTTTGTCTGTCCGCGGAGCCGCTGCGAGGGTGAGTTTGAGCGGCCACAGAGACGTCAGCTCCGCATGAGACAGATGCTCCTGTCTGTTTAAATGGTTTATGTTCATTACAATGTATTACAAGTTAAAGTATTTAGACATGAGTTTGAACTGTGTCATGATTGTTTTTTTTATGTCATTATGTGGTGGAATGTTTTGGGTCAATCAATGAACAATATTAGTCTTTGCTTGGGTTAACCATAAAGTAAATGTATTTATGAAGCACAATTCATGCAGTGCAAACTTCACACAGATGTCAAATCATTACAGTCATTATAAAACACATGAGATAAAATAAATCCATATAATAACATAACACTCCATCCATCCGTCCATTTTCTTCCCCTTAATCCATTTCTGGGTTGGGGGGGTGGCAGTCAGAGCTGCACCCAGTACACAGAGCACCAGCCCCTCACTGATCCTCCTGCAGGTGGTGAGTCCACAGGAGCTGAGATCTTTCAGTGGGGGCTTCAGGCAAAGTGGGGTTAAGTGTCTTGCCCAAGGACACAACGACAGCAGACATCAGTGGGAGTCGTGAAGTAGATCTTGTGGTGGGCTCAAACCCACGAGCCACTGTCGCCCCTACAACAACAACAACGACAACAACACTCATGATAGAATTAAAATGTTGTGTATAGATTTCAGTCATACTCACAGCTGAATAAAATAGTCTTCAGCCTGGACTTAAACCATGCCAGAGAGGACTGTTCCAGGTATTGGGGGCATTAGTCGGAATTGCCGCCTCCCCATGTTTAGTCCTGACTCCTGGCACCAGCAGAAGGCCAGACCCTGTGCTCCTCAGAGTCCGAGTTGGTTCATATGGCACTAACATGTAACCACAGACGAACCTATAAAGGATATAAATTATTCTGAGTCAATTCTTGTTTGCTTCCATTACAGTTGAATAAATATAGTTGACTTATCCCCTTGAAATGTTGTTCTCAGTTCGCCTCGTCGTTTGCTGGAGAAAGTGCTGTTCCTCCAAATCTCCTGCTGCCCACAAACCTGGTGGACCCCTCCAGACTCAGTGAGTAGTGATGTAAACGTGTCAAACTCATTTTTGTCTTATTGCATTAATTATTGTAATTTTAATGCAAGTTGTGTATGGAAATGTGAAAAGTCAGTGGCACCAATACATACATTTTAAAAAGTCCTCAAACTTCATAAATAAAAAATAAGCAATTTGTCTGCAGCATCTCATGACTTCTCTTCTCCCTCAGAGCGTCCGGCTCCTCCTCCGGACTCTGCCCTCCCCGTCCTGAGGTCATGTGACGCCCCAGTGCCCGTTCACCTGAGTCCAGTGCGAACGTGGGTCCAGACTCTGATGAAGGACGAGCCGCTGGGACTGACCGAGCTGCACCCGGACGTGTTCTCTGTGCCGCCGAGGTGCAGCTTTAAAACTGTTTAAAATCAAGCTCTAAACACTTCAGAACTCATCACTTTCTCCTGCCTTTTATGACCGTCCACTTATACTACTGTCACCTTAACCTGCTCTGCTAAATGTCTATTGTGTGGACTTGTATATGGTAGAGATTTACATTTTTAGCCAACAATAATCTGAATAATGTGGAGTATAATGTGCTGAGAATACAGAGATTTATACTTGCTTCTTTATTATGCTAAAGTTATACATTTTATGTTATTTTAGTATAGCTATTATTCATTTATCTAGTTCTGTGTATTCCTGTTTCCTACTGTTCTGTGACGGGTGATGCAATCTCTCAATCTTAACGCAAATGACAAGTGTGAACTTTCTATTTCTTACAATGTGAGTAAAATAATTGATTCTAACCTGTTCACTAAATCTGCATTTTTAAAAATTCTTTTACAGATTGGACATCCTTCATGCCGTTGAAATTTGGCAGAAGAACTTTAAAAGAATAGTGAGTAAAGCTGTGTTTTTATATTGTGTACACAGGTAATATGTTCTATTGCTTAAAGCTGGGGTACTTAACTTTTTTTTTGAACGCCATCTTTTTGTGCGGTGTACGCTTGTAGCAACCGCCCAAATAGATTGGATCAAGGCTTTCCCAGATAAGCGCCCCCTGCAGGCCACCCAAATGAAACGCAGCAATTTCTTCTTTTTTTCCCCCCAAATATGCCCGAAATCAAGAATCGTTTGAGAATTAATGAAACCCAAGAATTAGAAAACGTGTTATCTTGTTATGCACACTTGGAAGAAAGGTCCCCGTGAGTCACTATTTGACTCTTTGGGGGCTGATTGGGTTTAGTAGGATGGATCTTTCTTTCACTTTTCTGTCTGATAAAGCAGATCTAAAGATTGAGACCACTGCATAAAACTAAATATATTATCTTTGGAAAAAGGTAAATAATAAAGACCCCATGTAAAATCAGTATGGGGGAGGTAGACATTGAAAGGGTGTATGAAACAAAGTTTTTAGGAATCAATATTGATCATAAGTTAAACTGGAAAGTGCATATAAACACTCTAAAGACTAAAATTTCTAAACTCATTGCTATACTGTGTAAAATTAAAACTTCTGTAAATCAAAATGCTTTATATATACTGTACAATTCCCTCATCCTTCCATACCTCAGCTACTGTGTGGAAATATAGGGGAATACCTACAAAACTAATATAAAACCTATCTTTATCTTACAAAAGAAAGCCATTAGAGTGATCAGTCATGCCGAATACCTTGCCAACAAATCCACTATTTATTAGACATAATATTCTAAAATTGTATGATCTTGTTGATGTTTACACTGCAGCTGTGTTATACAAGGCTCACAACTTCATGCTTCCTCACTGTTTACAAAAGATGTTTCATACTAGAGAATGTAGCTACAGCCTCAGAGGAACTGATCTGCTTCAGAAACCCAGAGCAAAGAGTAATACTAAGAGGAGATGTGTATCAGTCAAAGGAGTTGATCTATGGAACAGTCTATCTGTTCAACTTAAGGGCTCAAGAACTATTAAAACATTCAAAAAAAAGTATAAGTCAAATATTCTGGAGAAGTATAGGACAATTGAATTGGACTATGCTTAATAACTCGTGTTTATGGGAGTTCATGTTTTGTGCTTCATGTTACCATCGTTGGTGTGTGAGAATCTGTATATTGTGTCACCTATAATTTTGATCATGTATAACATAATTTTGATTTGTTGAAGTGCAATTTTTTGGTGCCTCATGTTACCATTGTTGGTATATGAGAAACTGTATGTTGTGTCATTTACAATTTTGATCATGTATAACATCATTTTGATTTCTTCAAGTGCAAGTTTTTGGTGCCTCATGTTACCATCGTTGGTATATGAGAAACTGTATAATTTGTCATCTTTGGACGTATTTTCACATTGTATTAGGGGTTAGGCAGTATAAGTTTCGACTTCAGCCTAAACCCTTTTGGTCAGGTATTGTTTCGCACAAGGTCCTTTATGGACACATTTTGGTTCTTTTTTTCATTTTATTTTTATTTTCTTGTTGTAAAAAGTAAATGTGAGCTCTGTATCCGTGTGACCCGAGGTCGGGTGTACATATTGGCCGAAGAAAAAAATAAACTAACTGAAACTAACTAAGATAATTCATGTGAAAACTAGTGATAGAACTGGGCTGTTTTGAGCGATGGGAGCGAGGTGGATGTTTATTTACAGAAACGTACATACCCCGGCTTTAACTACTGCTTTATTCATCCTAAATGAATGGATGGAAGCCAAAAACGAGGTTGTCATTGTCTTTCAGAGTCACGCAAAAACAAAAGTGAGGTCAGAAGTCCGAGGAGGAGGCAAGAAACCGTGGCGACAGAAGGGAAGTGGGCGAGCGCGACACGGCAGCATCAGGTCCCCCATCTGGAGAGGAGGTGAACTGCAGTTTGTTTGGACTTAAACATAAAGGAAGAAGATTTTAGTAAAAATGGCAAAATGAAAACGAGGTTAAAAAGAGAGCACGATTATTTTTAGATTAATACCAAGTTCAACAGTAATGGCTTCTTATTGTAGACATTTTGTGCTAGAACTGATGAATATTACACAAATCTTGCATTTATTTAGTACCGTTTGATCTTCTCTGCAGTTAAGTCGGTCTGATTCCTAAAAATACTACTACTTCTTCTACTACTATTACGACTAATAATAATAAAGCTACTGTTACTACTACCACCTCTACTACTCCAGCTACTGCTACTACTACCACAGTTCAACTACTATAGTTGAGACTTGAACCGTTTTCTGTGAGAATCTTGAGGTAATAGGTTTGTTTTTCACATTTTAATTATCTTGAAGTAGTTGGATATATGGCTTGGTTACTATGGAGACGGAAGTTGAAGCGATGGCGACAAACCCAGTTAAATCCTGTTTTTCTCTGTAAATAACTATCACTGTGTCGTGTTTTTGTGTATTTTAAAGATGGTCCTGATCTGTTTCTCTAGTTTTGTTAATGACTTAAGTTGTCTTGTGTATGAACTGTGCTATACAAATAAACCTGCCTTCCTCAGGTGGAGTGTCTCATGGCCCTCGCGGTCCCACGAGTTACTATTACATGCTGCCGATGAAGGTCCGAGTGATGGGACTCAAAGTGGCCCTCAGCTCCAAACTGGCCCAGGTACAAACATACATTATAATTAAAGCTGGGGTACCTAACTTAGAGCAGGTAACACACAGGTGGGCTCAGGCAGTGATTCGGAAGCTGCTCAAGTTACAAATTACTTACTGCAGTAACAAAGAAACAGGCGAAAAGGAACAGATTTGGAGCGAGATTTGGGTATTTATACTATATTTAAGCCAGATCATATTCTCAACTAGATATTTCACTGATTTTATTCATTAACAGTTTAGGTCAAGTATGTAATCAGTTAGAACCACCCCTTTTAGTTTCTAAGCAATCAACTGCTTTAGATATAATCAATCAAACAACAAACACCTGAAATACTTTTGCTCTAATTTTATATTTGTCTACTACTTTCTTGTGGTCATCAGTAAAATACAATTGTTTTGGGGTTTGAGCTGCATGTCACTTTCACATGGATCATTTAATATAGTTCTAAAGGAGATTTGTCTGTTTTAGCCATATTAAGATGTTTGAGATTCATCCACACAAATCAGGAACGGTCACAAACATGAACTCATTGTACCACTGTGACAACTCAGAGCAGTTTTCTGACTTTTAAAAACAAAAGAATAGTCTATAAATTAGTTTAGTTTAGTTAATATCTTTGGTGAAACAACGTTCTTAACATGAGCCTGGCTGTGTTTGTAGACGGTAATTTGAAAATATTCCTCCCTCTGGTGGCGGTGTAGGGAATTACACACAGATCACATTATTTACCCTTCACACTTGTTTCACGTACTTAAACATGAAATGACAAAGTTTCACATGTTTTAATCGCCAATGCATCATATTTCTTCTTTCTCGTGCCTTTACTCCAGGATTACCTCCAGGTGGTGGACTCTCTGGACGTCCCGACTCCGGACCCTCAGTTCCTCTCGGACCTCATCAAACAGCGACACTGGGGCCAGTCTGTGCTCATCGTCCACAAGTGAGTTTTAAAGACGTGTTCACAAATGTAACAAAGTAAAGTTTATGTAATCATTTAGTTTGTGTCTTTAACATTTGATCTTGTTTTTCAGCGGGGAATTTCCTGAAAACATTCTTAGGGCGACAGAAGAGTTGAAGACAGTGAACCTCATTCCAGCAATCGGTGAGTTTTTAAAAAAACATTCTTTGAACATACACTGTATATTAGGAGGACGAGGATATATATTGCCCCACGACCCGGCAACGGATGAAGTGGAAGAAAATGGATGGATGGTATATTAGGGGTGGACTTATATTACCCATAGCCTTAATGTAGAAGGACAATTTCCTTATACGGGCATTCCTTCCACTGTCTTAGCGTCGTGCTGTAACAGGGACAGACCATGGATTTATAATAATAATGGGGCAGACCTGTTCTTGGGTTTCATGAACCTGGCCAGTAGGGGGCGAATGAGCAGAGATGGGACAACTCAGTTTTGCTGCCATTGAAAACCATGTAAAGTCTGTTTTGGAGTCAGAAGGCTCTCCTCCTGTGCGGTGTACGGTTGTTGGAACAGTCTTAATCGGGGGACACTCAATTCTAAGGGAACACTAAAAATATTTTTTGGGCTTATCTGGGAAAGTCTTGATCCACCTCACCTCATTCCAGTGATTTTTTTCAAAGTGTCCTTTATATGAGACCACAGTTGGAACACGGAAGAAACTCTTGTCTTTCTCTGTTTGTTGTTTGCTACAAGCGTACACCGCACAAAAAGCTTCTTCTTCTACTATATCTCAGTGTATAAACCCAGCAGACTGCACCGCCAGGGTACAACACATCCTGTCCTACGTTTGTTATTCGCCCCACTGCCCTGACGTCATATGAAACCCAAGAATTCGAAAAAGCAAGCTAGAGTTTCTCCTGTGAATGAAGGCCTCTGATTGGTCAACCCATTTAAATCACAAGTGTGCTAAACCACATTTTTTAAAGTATTCACTGTCTCATTAAGAGAACATTCAAAGCATTAAACATAAGCGGAAATGAACTTTTTACATTCAATTTCTTATGTGTGTGTTTATTCCAGGTCTGAACGTCCACAGTTTGCTGAAACACGAAACTCTCATTTTGACTTTGGAAACGATACAATTTCTTGAAGAGAAGTTACTTTGGCACGACACACGCTATTCCCCTTTGTACCCGTTCAAACTGCCGTACTCCGACCTATAACACCACTGTCTGTGTTTAAAACGGTCATAAATTATGTGGAAAAAACTCACAATAAAAAAAAAAAAAAAGTTCATATAAAAAAAAGTGTGTGAGTCTTTGTCAGAATCTGTAGTTGTATGAATGTGGGAGGTTCCCGGTTGCCAGATCGTTGCGTATTTCCCACCGTAGAGCCGTGCGTTTCTTCTCCGTGGGGACGGTGTACGTGTTTGGAGCCAGGACTTTACGAGGCTTCGGCTGCAACAAAATGAGGAAAACAGAAAAAAATGAATACATGTAGATGCGGTTTTAACAGAGAAGTTTTCCAGAAGCAAATACTACAATATCTTTCGTACTTTATGCAAATGTCATTTTTTGCGTTATAATAATAGTTCGACACCTATCATTTGTCCTAATCATCTGTATTTACATTATGAATACATGTAAATATATCACAACTTTCTCATTCTGTCCTTGTTTTTAATGCTCTGCTCTATGGAGGGCTTAAATACACACCAATGACGAAATGAAACTAAAGTGAAAATAGTAATGACAAGATTACAGCCACTTCACTTGTATTTCTTTGCATATTCTTGTTTATCTAAAACATAAGATCCAGTTTGTTTCCCCCAGCCCCAGATTGTGCAAATGTGAATCACAGACTGAACTCACCGCAGGAGGCTGGTAGGCGAGGCGCTCCTGTGGAAAACAATATTCAAGTCACTTTTTTTGGACAGAGAGAAAGAGACAGACAGAGAGAGAGACTGAGACCAGAGAGAGAGAAAGTGACCAGAAAGAGAGACTGTGAGACCAGAAAGAGAGACTGTGAGACCAGAAAGAGACTGTGAGACCAGAGAGAGTAAAGTGACCAGAAAGAGAGACTGTGAGACCAGAAAGAGAGACTGTAAGACCAGAGAGAGAGAAAGTGACCAGAAAGAGACTGCGAGACCGGAAAGAGAGACTATGAGACCAGAAAGAGAGAAAGTGACCAGAAAGAGAGACTGAGACCATAAAGAGAGACTGAGACCATAAAGAGAGACTGAGACCAGAGATTAAAGTGACCAGAAAGAGAGACTGTGAGACCAGAAAGAGAGACTGAGACCAGAGAGAGAGAAAGTGACCAGAGAGAGAGAGAAAGTGACCAGAAAGAGAGACTGAGACCAGAAAGAGACTGAGACCAGAGAGAGAGAGAAAGTGACCAGAAAGAGAGACTGAGACCAGAGAGAGAGAAAGTGACCAGAAAGAGAGACTGAGACCAGAAAGAGACTGTGAGACCAGAGAGAGTAAAGTGACCAGAAAGAGAGACTGAGACCAGAGAGAGAGAAAGTGACCAGAAAGAGAGACTGAGACCATAAAGAGAGACTGTGAGACCAGAGAGAGTAAAGTGACCAGAAAGAGAGACTGTGAGACCAGAAAGAGAGACTAAGACCAGAGAGAGAGAAAGTGACCAGAAAGAGAGACTGAGACCATAAAGAGACTGTGAGACCAGAGAGAGTAAAGTGACCAGAAAGAGAGACTGTGAGACCAGAAAGAGAGACTGTAAGACCAGAGAGAGAGACTGTGAGACCAGAAAGAGAGACTGAGACCAGAGAGAGAGAAAGTGACCAGAAAGAGAGACTGAGACCATAAAGAGAGACTGTGAGAGCAGAGAGAGTAAAGTGACCAGAAAGAGAGACTGTAAGACCAGAGAGAGAGACTGTGAGACCAGAAAGAGAGACTGAGACCAGAGAGAGAGAAAGTGACCAGAAAGAGAGACTGAGACCATAAAGAGAGACTGAGACCAGAGAGAGAGAAAGTGACCAGAAAGAGAGACTGTGAGACCAGAGAGAGAGAAAGTGACCAGAAAGAGAGACTGAGACCAGAAAGAGACTGTGAGACCAGAGAGAGTAAAGTGACCAGAAAGAGAGACTATGAGACCAGAAAGAGAGAAAGTGACCAGAAAGAGAGACTGAGACCATAAAGAGAGACTGTGAGACCAGAGAGAGTAAAGTGACCAGAAAGAGAGACTGTGAGACCAGAAAGAGAGACTAAGACCAGAGAGAGAGAAAGTGACCAGAAAGAGAGACTGTGAGACCAGAAAGAGAGACTGTGAGACCAGAGAGAGAGAGAAAGTGACCAGAAAGAGAGACTGAGACCAGAAAGAGAGAAAGTGACCAGAAAGAGAGACTGAGACCATAAAGAGAGACTGTAAGACCAGAGAGAGAGACTGTAAGACCAGAGAGAGAGACTGTAAGACCAGAGAGAGAGACTGTGAGACCAGAAAGAGAGACTGAGACCAGAGAGAGAGAAAGTGACCAGAAAGAGAGACTGAGACCATAAAGAGAGACTGTGAGATCAGAGAGAGTAAAGTGACCAGAAAGGGAGACTGTGAGACCAGAAAGAGAGACTGAGACCAGAGAGAGAGAAAGTGACCAGAAAGAGAGACTGTGAGACCAGAGAAAGACTGTGAGACCAGAGAGAGTAAAGTGACCAGAAAGAGAGACTAAGACCAGAGAGAGAGAAAGTGACCAGAAAGAGAGACTGAGACCATAAAGAGAGACTGTGAGACCAGAGACAGACAGAGAGCTACTGACAAAATGTTCATGTATAAAACAAACAAAAAACCGGCTCCTTGTGTTATCCTTAAGTAAAAGTTCAGTGTTGCATCACAACTTAGAGCTTTAGGAATGAGGAGCACACAGCACAAGACAGATGGACAACAGCTAAACTAATTAAAATAAAACAAAATCTAACAACCATCAAAGACGAGTAAAAAAATATGAGTTTTACTATTACTTTGTGGTTGCTTTTTCTGAAAAAAAAAAAAAAAATGTTTATGGTTTAGATATAACTAAAACTGGACCAAATATAATCATTGCTTTACATTCATTCATTCATTTAACTCCTAATGATGTGTTGGGTTAAAATGTTGATTACATGCATTTACAGCCATAACCATAAAGTTCATAATAATATCTGAAAATCATATTAGGGGCCACTAAAAATGGTCTTGCGTCCCGGATTTGGCCCATGAGCCCGAGTTTGACATGCCTCATTTAGACCCTTTAGGTGTCTAACTTAATCACTGCAGCGGATCCTTTTTATAGCTACATACATTCATTTTGAGATATATTGTGATGTCTGGATCTTTACCCTGATCTCCCATCGCAGAGCCTTCCTGTCGTCTTCCCCGGGCGTTTTCAACATGTCCCACAGCTGCTTGTACTCAAAATACCTGCACAAAGGAAAAAAATAACAAAAGTATTTACAGAGAACGCCCCGATAGTAAATGACTGACATACTGAACTTACTTTGCCACTGGGTCTGTCTTCTTGGGTCCAGTGTGGCCGAGCACGGGGCGGATAACTGCAGACGGACATGAGACAGTGTTCTGTAAATGTTATTGTTTTATTTCACACTTTGGGAAAAATCTGTCAAAACCACTCACATGATTTGGGTTTGGGTCTGATGTCTCCGTCGCTGTGGCTTCGACTCTGCAGACAAAGAAATGGGCCGTTACTGTATGTGGTGGTTGTAGTTTAACGTTTTCAGGACTAAACATGGAGGCAGCTGTTGCAGATTTTAAATACAGCACACGCCGATACACTTCTTTTTTCTGTCATCCAAGTATCAAATTCTATATTTAATCATGAAATGTCTCCATAAAATGTTTCGATACTATGGATTAATCATCAAGTGTTTTTATAAAGTGTTTTCATGAGGTCTAAACAATGGACCATAGATAGCCTTGAAAAGAATCAGTCTTCTTGATCTCACCGGACAGGAGACTAGACCAGACCCAGACCAGGGTCTCAGTCTGGTCTTACCATATGACGTCATCGGAGGCACTTCCTATTCTTCTAGATATTTTAATAAAACTGTTGGAAGGACATTTGTTGAGCAGTCTGAGCTTGAACTCTTAAATCTTGGTCTTATTTCTGTATCAAAATTCTGAGTCACGTCTGCCTTTTTTGGGACAATACAGCAAAAATCTGGAGCAGTCTTCTTGAAAATGTGAGAGACAAATCCTGGTTAAAAACAGTTCTGTTTAGCTGTGTTACAACTGAAGGATTTTACATTCACTCTTTTTAATGTATTGTTATCATTTATGATTTGAATGTCTTGTTTTATTGTTTCTATCTGGTTTTGTTCAGAACTTTGAGTTGCATTGTGTATGAACTGTGCCATACAAATAAACTTTGCTTGTCTTGGCAAATTTTAAGAATTTTAAGACTGATATTTCTCTTCAGTCCACATAGGATTGATCTGAAAACTCACTATATGCATTTCAAAGTGCTATAAAAATACAAATGTGTTATTATTTATTATTATTATTAGTGGGATGTTGTTCAATCCAGGATTCAGGCGATAAAGGACTGAATATCTTCTGTGTGTATTTAAGTCTGTTGACATCAGACAGTAAATATTATTACACCAAACACAAAGTACAGTCAGGACATAAGTTCCAGTTGGATGTGTTTGGGTGTGATCTGAACGCACCAGGCCTCGCACGTAGGACTCGAACGACCCCTCCGACAGGGACTTGGAGCTCGGAGACTCGCTGGAACTCGTCAGCTGGTTTTCGGACTCGTGAGCCGCAGACAGGTGCAGGTCGGACAGACGCTCCTCCAGGCGGCTCGCTGCCTCTGGGGAAACAAGAGAACGCGTCTCAAAAACAAGATTCGAGATGTTCAGACGTGAAGTAGGTTTCTTCTGTGCTCATAAATATCTGTTAGTAGTACTCGTTTTAGGGAACCAGAGAACAAGCCCCGTACTGCAGCAGACAGAACTTTAACTTTAAAGGTTTGGGAAAGTTGAATGTGAGCCCCTTTTTAAACACAATGTTATTATGGTGGGTAAACAAATATAAATTTTACTAACCAATTCTAGAAATATCTTTAAAACACTCCACACGCTGCTGTTTCTTAGTAAGCAGCTCTGGCCACAGGCAAACAGATATTTACAGAAACAAAAACAGTTAAACCAATTTTACAAATGCTGGAAGTGACTTTTAGATTTAGTACATTTAGATTTTACAAAACCTA